GATTTATCCATGCCTCTATATAATGAATTACAGTAATCCAACCGAGATGTGATGAAAGCATGGATAAGTCCTTCAAAGTCCTTAAAACAAAAATAAGATTTAATTTTTGCTAAAATCCGCAGGTGATAAAAACTTGATCTAACAACAGAGCTAACTTGTTTATCTAGCTTTAAACAGCTATCAAAAGTGAAACCAAGATTCCTAGCAGAGGTCTGACAAAACTGAGCTAAAGAACCAAGAATCAGATCTGGATTTGTCGAGTGAAGATTAATTTTAATTGTTCAGCTGGAACGTAAACATCTTCATTGGTCAATGTGTGTTTCAGGAATGAGCGTTTGTATTTTGGCTTGAAAACGATGAGGATTTGATCTGTAAAAACTAAAAAAATGCATTTCAATGATGAAAATAAAGTTGGGGAAAAAAAAAAGAATTGTAGAATTGAATCTGAGAATCCAGGAAAGTTACTCTAAATGGAAATTTATTGAGTTTAGTTTCTGGATCGCATTTATTTAACACTTTATAGGAAACAAAAAAAAAATATTTTGAAACTGAAAATGTTAAGCCCAGACTGTTATTAGAGGACAGGACCAGACCTTATTACTTTTCTAACATTCAAAAAATATGTTTATCTTGATGGCAAAAATGAACGTCAATATAATAACAAGACATGGAAACTTGCTCTAATATATTAAGAAAAATAAAAGTTTTTCTATATTAGAAATTCATGCAAAACACAAAGAATATTTTTTGTTACAACTTAACCTTAGAGCTATAATGCTGATAGAGATATTTAGTTTTTCCTTTTTAAAATGAGCTCATTAACTTTTGAACTTTTTCATTTATCTTTCATTCTTAATTTTTTTTCCAACCTAATTTTCAGTAGGTAATATATCATTGAAGGGGACTGGGATCAAAACAGTTGATCAAAATCAGTAACTTGATATAGTGGCCTTTATTTTTATCCCTTTTGAAATAAGGCAGAAGACATGAGGCAAAGGTCTCCAGGCTGGGAATCGAACCTACGATGGCCGCTTATCTAGAATCTTTTTTTTTTTTTTTACTCCATCAAACTATCAGTTTGTTTCACCTCAGAGTTTCCTGAAGCTAGCTTAGCTTAGCATAAGGCTGGAAAGCCGGAGGTATCCACTGATCCATGATTGGCTGAACGTTTCTACATGATGTAAAATATAGTGGTTGCCCAGGAAACGATAATAACATAACGCAGCATACGTTAGCATGTCTAACGAGTGATGAAGTTTTATCTGATCGATAACAAAACTGACAAAAACTCTGTTTCTGGTGAACAAAGTAACTGTTACACCATGATATAAAGGGGGAGAGCTGCGTAGCGCTGCGGCTAGCTGTGCTCAGTAGCTAACAGGTTAGCCTCTTTTAGCTTGCTCAGTTAGCCATATTAAGCTACGCTACTTTGTGTCAACAACAACCGTTTGTTTTCTACAAGTAGTAAAACAGTTTTCATCTAAAATCTCTACAGAAGTCATTTTTAGGATTTTCCAATTGTCCTCCTCT